CGTCATTAAATTTTTGAAAATTTTGAAAATCCGCGAAATTTTTTGTGAAAATCCGCGAATTATTTTTGTTTTGTTTTACGATGTACACAAAGAGAACATTGTTCACAATTAATTTAGAAGATGGGCGCGAAGCGCCATCTAAGGCTAGAAAGAAGGGCGCGAAGCGCCTTGAATTTCTAGTTTGTTAAATATTAAAACATTATAGATTAAACAATACAGTAAATTCATTTTTATACTCACCTAAAGTTGAGAGCAATAGTGTTGCATTTTTCTTCAAACTTGGTTTTTTCCCCTGAATAATATCTCCTTCTTTAAAATGGTTTGAGCAAGTACAACTTGAGGGATATATGGTGGAGTCTCCCAACCTTAAAAGGTCTAGCCATGCACAATGTTTTGGTATTTTAAAAAATATCACATTTTTACAAGAAGAATTGTTCGTGGACTTTTTCATAACGCAAAATTTGGTAATACTTTTATTAACATAAACAAACAACTGAACTTGAATGTACTGCAGTATACAATTCTGGGTTTACAATCCATATTTGTGTCTATCTAATTATCAATACAAATTTTCAATTATCTACATTTTACCACCACAAAGAAATACGATCACACTCTATACAAGTGTACAGTGTTAGATTTGTAAGCATATCGTGACCGACCAACCTATTTATTAATTAATAGGGAGGACGGTATGTGTACATCTGAGGTAAACTTTACCTCTTCGTTTTATTACTCTATGTATCCACGGATGACCAATTTCAGAAAATAATGTTTCCCATTGCACTCTATGACCATATGTGCACCAATCTGTAGGAATTTGGTAAATCTGGGGAATTCCCCAAACTCAAAAAGAATCTGAGGGCTAAGAGTGGTGAATTTTTCATTAATAGGAAATTTCTCAAATGCCTAGCTATTTGGGAAATTCTCCAAATTCCTATTTTCTTTCCAAGTCGCCTTGAAAACATTTATATAATAAAGCTCTTCGCCCATATTTATATATTTGTATGTATAGTAGAAACCTCACTAAAGATTTGAGCACATACTCCATGAAACACAGTGTTTGAGGATGTCAATCTCTTTTTTGATTGAATAATAAATTGACTATATTTGTATGTATGTATGTATGTATGTATATTTGTTTTAGCTATACCTGGCCAAACGGCTGGACCGAATTGGCTGAATTATTTTGAGGAAACTCATGGGTCCCTGGGGCCTGGGGTTAAAATAGGCTAAACAAAGTCGAAAAAAAGTATTTGATTGCAGGGCATCTTCAGCTAGTTTAAAGGGAGTGACTGGCTATGTAAGGTAGTTGAACTGAGTATACAGTGTTGTGGAAAACTTCTTTCGGATTCATTTGAGACATATT